GCTGGGCTCTCACCATCTGCAGCTCACTTTGTAACTGTTGGTTCAAGTCCACTTTCTCCTCCACCTGGGCTTCCAAGAACACAATCTTTTCTTCTTTCATGGCCAGTGCTGTTTTTAACGTTGACTCATTTCTGCCCTCCAAAATCTTGTATTTTCTGAAAAATTCAGAAATACAATAAATAGAACCATTTACCTGCCTCTTGAACCCCACACCCATCTCCTCGCAAGAGGCTGCCTGCCTGTACCACCCACGAGTCAGACACACTCCAGAGACCTTCCCAGGGTCCCTGAGGAGACACACACCTGTGACCCTGCCTAGGAGACACTCTGCCACCTTTCAGGGTCACTGTCTCAGGGAGGCATCGTCACAGTCATTTTACTGGTAGGGTAAGTCTTGGAAAGCTTAAGCAATCTGTCAAAGGTTGTAGTGCAAGGTGCATGGCAAATGCACAGCCTCTGCACCATACCAACCAAGCACAGGGTCACACTTACAAATCCACAAGTCCAGATACTGGATATCCTGACGTGAATCATTTTTAAGGAAGTACGCTTGCAACAATTAAATTAAGAAGGATTTTTTTGCGGGGTAGGGGCTGGCTCATGCTGCCTTAAGGGCACATCTGGTAAGGCATGGGGAGCTGGGGATCGAACCACAGTCCCCTGCACCTGACTGGGTTTGCCCCAGCAGGTGCTTAAGCCACTGAGCTAACCTGCAAGCCCCTGCAATAGTTAAATTAAAAAAGTCTCGGGGCAGGGGATGTAGCTCAGCGGCACAGCATTCACAAGGCCCTGGGTTCAATTCCCAGCACCAAAAGCAAACTAAACACCTGCTGTGTTTGTGCTGCAGAGCTACATCTTGTACCTGCTTGGCAAGTGCAAGATCCTGTGTTTGATTCCTTGTACCATTAAAAAAAAGAAGAAGAAGAAAGAAGGAAAAAGAAAAGGTCTCAGGCTGAGGATGTGGCTCAGTGACACAGCACTTACAGGAAAGAGGCCCAAGACCCAGTCTCCAGCACCACCAAACACACACACACACACACACACACACACACACACACACACACGACACCATTCCTATTGGACAAAAGGATCTCCCTCCCTGCCCCCAGAGTCCACAGGAATAAGATCTGATCTTCAAAGGACATAGGAGCCACAATGCAGGGACTTCAGTAAACACAGGTCTTGGGCTGAGAGCAGAGGCTCAGCCAGCAGCAGAGGGACGTGCTACCATACGGGAGGCCATCCTCACGTGTCACCGTGGCTGTTCTCATCCTGCAGCAGCAGTGCCTTGCTGAGCCCAACCTTCTCCAGTTCCTGGCCCAGTTTGTCCAGCTCACTGGTCAGCTGCTGGCTCTTCAACTTCTCTAGCACCAGGTCCTGCAACACAGCAGACAGGAGCGTGGGGCGGGAGCCTAACGGAGTCGCGGAGGAGAGGCCGGGCCAGCGGCCCTTCATGATCTCGTCTCTGAGCCGCTTCTGTCCGAGTCCTGGCTGCTTAGCTGGGGGACCAGATAATTGACCCCAGACAAGGACGGGCTGCCAGAAGAGAGGAAACGCTTTCACAGGCCTAAGCAGACCACCTGGCACCATGCTGAGGATCGATCTAACACACTCCTCTGAGACACGCTAGAAACGCCACTTATGGTGACCTCTGAGCACCAGGTTTGACTTCTCATAAGGCTGCCTCATTTATTTATTTATTTTTTTAAGAACTTTATTTATGTGGTGTGTGTGTGTGTGTGTGTGTGTGTGTGTGTGGCCAGCTCAGCCCACCAGGGGGCGGGGCTGGCTGGCATGTGGTGCTGGGGGATTGAACCGCGGTCCCTGTGCTTTGCTAAGCTTGTTCTAAGTAGATGCCTTAGACCACTGAACAATCTCACCAGCCCAAGGCTGCCTTATTATTATTATTTTTTTGCAGAGCCGGGGATTGAACTCAGGCCCTTGCGCTTGCCAGGCAAGCACTTATTCTATTGAGCCATCTTACTGGCCCCGCCAAGGCTGCCTTATTATGAAGTAACAGGTAATTAAATACTCAGACAATGTGAAACAGAAAAAAGCAGAAAGAAAAGTTTTACCAAAGCCATTGTTCTGGTTTACTTTTCAGAACAGATGCCGAATTCACCAAGGCGATTCCATCCTCTGATCCCCTTCCTTCCATCCATCTCTGCAGGAAGCCACTGCTTGTGCATGGGGCCAGTCACCTGCATGCTATTTATCTCTCCTACTAAGCCACAGGCAGGGTGGCAGCGACAGCAATGCCCCAAATATCCTTTCAGCCTTATATTAGCTGTCACCAGGTGACCCACGCTGGCCAGTGGGTGTGGGCAGCAGTGACACAGGCCACTTTCTGACTGATGTAGAGAAAAGCAGGTGTGTGACCTGCCAGCTGCCTTTTCACCCACTGTCACTGCCCAAGCCTGGGGCCTAAGGTAAGAGGATAGTGCAGATGGCTCAGTCCTAGCACATGGGACAGAGTCCCTGAGCCCTGCCAGCACGTGTGATTCGCATACAGCATGCGCTAATCCTGGGGCTCACCAGCACCTGTGTTAAATGCATTCCCACTTCTAACACTTTCACCCATGGTGGGTTTCTAAGGACACAGCCCACTGTAAGTCAAGGACACCTGTGTGCACATGCACAGAGGAGATGATGTAATGAACCAAATACTAGGTATACTTGCCTCTGGATAGTAAGATCACAGTATCTGATTCCCACTGGTTCTTTAGTTTCTGGGCTATCAGAATGAGGGATACACTTAGGGAGCACATGCAAAGCTCCCCTTCTATTCTGGAACCATGCACCCCAGAAACAGGCCCTCCTGCCACCCCCACTGCTCATGGCTCACCTCTCTCAGGGTGGTCAGTGTCCTCGTGTGCATGGTGACCTGCTTGGTGAGGTCCCTGTTGTCCTTCTCCAGTTCCTTCAGCTTGCTGGCTGCGTCCCGGCAGCGAGTCAGCTCCTTGTCCAGTGCGCGGCTCTCCTTCTCAGCCGCTGACAGCTTGGCAGCGCTGTCGTCTAAGACGGCGTCCTTCAGCTCCACCTGCTGCCACAGCCGCTTGGTCTCCTTCTCCAGCAGCTTCTTGTCCTTCTCCAGCTGGGCCACCTCCTGCTCCAGGGTCTTTTTGTCCTCATCCGCTCTCTCCAGCTGCTTGTTGGTGAGCCGAAGGGCCTCCACGTCTCGCCGCAGCGCCTGGTGCTCAGCCTCCAGCTCGCTCAGCTCCCGCTCCAGGGCCTGTGACTTGTGCCCGCTGCTCTCTAAGCTCTGCTGCAGCCGGAGGTTCTCGGCGCTCACGCTCTGATAACTGAGCTCCAGGCGCTCGGACTTCTTGCTCAGCGCCTTCAGCAGGTCCACGTTCTTCCGCAGCTCCTCCTTCTCTCGCTCCAGCTGCTGGTTCTCCCTCTCAATCTGTGCCATCTTGGCACTGGTGAAGCGCATGGTCTCTACCATCTTCCGAAGCTCCAGGTTCTCCTCATCCAGCTGCTTGTTGTCGCGCTCCAGACCCTCGAGCTGCACTGACACGTTCTGCAGAGTATCCAGTGACTTCCTCAGGGTCCTGTTCTCCAGCTCCAGGCCCCGGCTCTCATGCTCCAGGGCTTCCACCTTCTCGGTAACCGTCTTCAGGGAGGTCACCTTTCTGGCCAGCTGCTCATTCTCCTTCTCCAGCCGGCGCAGCTCCTTCTCCAACGCCTCCACCCGCTCCCCCTTCTCCTTGGCCTGCTCCAGGTCCCTGTGCAGTTGCTTCTTGTCCAACTCAAGTTGGCTCAGCTTGCTGCTGGCCTCTGTCACTGCCTGGTGGAGGGCTCTGTTCTCCTTCTCGACATCCTTCCCACGGGCCTCGCCATTGGCCTGCGACTTCTCCCGCAGCGACCACACGGTTCGGTGAAGGTGGTCTTTCTCCTGCTCCAGATCCTTGATCTACAGAGAAACACAATGGGCAGGACCCAGAGTGCTGCGGGAACCGAGGCCAGGGATCTATCTGGGCTGGCCCGTGTAGCTAAACCACCCCAGCAACTCCCAGGCCTGCTGCAGACCCAGTGTGAGGCGCCAATGTAAGTGCTGAGACAGCTCAGGTCAATGTACACTCAACCCAGCAAAGTGAGCATTAAACATACACAACATCTGTCTGCCTCTTAAAAGTTTTAGCCATTTCCCTCAGTCCTTTTTGTCATGGCTAGCAGGAACCAGTGACCAGGCCCTCCCATCTTTCCACTGTGTGTGGTGCTGTGAGCGCTATCAGGAATGGCCGTGACCCTCAAATCCCTTTTCAGAAGCAAGTGTCCCAGGCACAGGGAGAGGTAGCAGCGGGGCCTACCTGCCTGGCCTTGTCGGCCTTCAGCGCCTCCATGTCACTCTGCAGCTGCTCCTTCTCCCGGATCAGCTCCTCACTGAGGGTCTCCAGGTCCTGATTGCTCTGCTTCTCTCTTTCCAGCTGGGTCTGTAACTTTTCAATCTGTAGCCAAAAAGTCCAGCCCGGGGCTGAGGTCAGTCTCACCCAGTGGGCTACATTTAAAAGCACAACCTAAACCTCTCAGCCCACAGATCACTGGAATGGGCCTCTGTCTGAAGAAAAGGCATCCTCTCCAGTCACCACACCTAGGGCAGGGTGGTGGTGTGTGGGAGCTGGGCCCCTCGAGATCACTTCTGACTGGGAGTGGGGGAGGGGCCTGCGGAGTTGCATTTTACTTGGCTTTGGCGAACCATGTACTGCCGGCTGGGGAATGTCACCTTAAAATGATGGTCATGGTGGGGTAGGGCCACCTGGAGAGCCTGGGTAAGTCTCAAACTTCCTCAGGGAGTGGGACCTCATATGCTCAGACGATACCCACGAATACCGGGGCCTGGGCCTTGCATAGCCAGATGTGTGACTCTCGGGTGGCTCTCAGTACCCTTGTCAAATACAGGCCTTGGTAAGGAGCCACCCTGTCTTCCTCTCTCAGGGTCTATGCAATCTCAACCTCCTCAGTGGAAGCAGGCGGTGGGGGTGCACCAGTAGGGGGTTGCATATGAATCATGCTGTTGGGGCACTAAGCCCTCACCCCAAGCTGGGGACCCCAGGAAAAATGTGCTTCATCCAGTAATCAATATGGAGCGACAGTCATGGGGGAGGGAGGCAGCTTCTCCAGGCCCTACAGAGTGGCCGAGATACAGGCACGGCACACACCAGGGGAACTACAGTTGCTGTGGACATCTCGGGCTAGTGTAAGCTGCAGGCCAGCTACACCACAGCCGATGGCGAGTCGAGCTGGCCCCAGGGAGCACCTCCAGAGCCTGCTCGCTGACTGCGAAACGCTAATGGGAGGCCTAGATCCACCCTAAGGAAGGGGGAAGACGGCTGCGGCCGAAGCTAGGAGTCAGGGTGGGCTGAACTGTCTCAAGGTCCTGGGGTGACTACACCCTCCTGCTGACGCTGCTCAGCAGGCAAACAGCGAGCCTCCAGTACACGTCAGGCATGCTGTACAGGGCCAAAGAACAGCAAGACGAGTGCAGAGAACCGGACACTGGCAGGAGTCACACAGGCGGCAGCACACATGCCCATGCCTGCTTCAAGAGAGAAGAGGCAGCAGGGAACAAGACAGGCTGATGCTACCTCTGGGACCTTAGCGAGGTGCTCCACACTCTCTATGCCAGCAGGATGACACAGCAGGCTCTCCACAGCAGACACCAAGCTCCCACAGGGTGTGAGGCTCATCTTCCTAAAGGTCAGGTCTTTTGTGCTGGCCAAGACTAGACTGCCTTTTATGAGGACGCCTCCTGCACTAGACCCACAGGAACCTAAGAAGCCAGCACATACAGTCACCTCTCCTTTGCTCCAAACCAAAAGACCAGGCACAAAATGGGGCATCTTCTCTTGGCCTATAAAATTAGGACAAGCCCTGTAGCAGCAAAAATTCTGCACGGTGCACGGGGAGCAGGGCAGTGGGGCAGCCTCCCAACGGTCCCTCTCAAGGCAGGACTGGGTGTGTGTCAAGCCCCACTTGGGTGAAGAGCCAGTAGGGAGCACCCTTGCAGAATGCATCTCCCACTGGCCCTCAACAAGTGACATCTCTGAGCTCAGGAGCACTTGACACTGCAGATATCAAAGGTGCCAGTCCTGCAAGGGGGCCATCAAGAAGAGCATTCCTGGTTCCACCTGTATAGAATGCAGTGCTGGGTGTGGTCAGAACCTACAATGTAACTTCGCCAGCCTCCACCCAGGAAGACCAGCCCCAGGCTGTGCTGTCCAGCAAACTCACCTTCTTGCTGAGCTGGTGATTCTCCTTCTCCAGCTCCCCACACTTGAGGTTGCTCTCCTCCAGTGCCAGGGATGCATCCCGCAGCCCCTGGATGGTGCTCTGGAGGCTCTGATTCTCCTTCTCCAGTTTCAGGATGCGACTAGAGGCACACTCGTTTAGCTCAAACACAAATGACTTCCTGGAGGCTGAAGCACAGTGGTTCATGGTCCTTTTCTGCAGTTTCCACCCTTATGCTCTACCTAGAGCCCAGAACCCCAAGCTCAGGGAGCTGGGAACCCACTTCCAGCTCCTCCACTTTCATCCCTGTGCTAGCTTAGCTGGGCTCAAGGAGAGAGCAAGCTGCAGGGCAGGAGCTAATAAAGCAAGCTAGACTAGGTAACCTGCAGGGACCATTTCCATGCCAAGTTGTTAACCTGACCACCTACTCAAGGACTGCAGGGGCCAGCAGAGAGGGCCAGCGAGCCATGTTTTCTTTCCTGCTGCAAAGGCAGCAGGCACCGGGACTGCTCAGCAGGGAAGGCACAGTAAGTGACCAGTAGTTCTGCCGCAGGGCACAAAAAGCTACACTACCCACCACTTGCCAGCCTGGGTGAGAACCCTGGCATAGACTTACGATTTTATAGTTATCCTAGAGAAAAGTGGAGGCCTATGCACAAATGGCTTTAAAAATTCCAAGTAAGACAGAAGCATAAAGGAAAGACTTTAAGAGGCAAATTGTCTATTTTGGTTTTAAGCAGCTCAAATGCAGGCAGAGAAGGGACTGCTGTCCTGGGACAGGACCACAGCAGGTGAGTCAGGGCTTTTCAGGAAGAAAACATCAGACACGAAAGGTCTCTGAAGGAGGAAACAAGGCTGCTCCGCCCACTGTAAGCTGAGCACACTGGGCAGCTAACTGGCAGTCACCAACCCCTACACACCTGCTCCTCAGCCGTCACCTG